AGTTGCACTCAATCTACTACTAATTGTCATTTTGGATTGTTCTTACTTTACATCTAGTCCAGTAGCATGTCTCAAGTACCAGCAGCCCAAACCAGAGGCCTCAGAAGAAACTACTTGAACTCTGCCTGAGGTAACACTGGAATACTCTACTCCTGCCCCCAATACACACATACATAAAGGTCCTTTCTCCTGTATTAAGAGAGAAGAACAAAACACATTCCATTTTAGCCTTCTCTGAACATGAAGTGTTTCACCAAGTCCTCTCTCAGTCACCTTACTTCCATAAATAACAAAACAAAACTCCACACCACTACCAAATTCCTTTGACTCCTCCTTAAAAAGATGTGCCAAATATTTGATTACGCATTGTGTTTTAGAATAAAATATTTTCTTTTCAGAGTATCTTCTCGAAAACACAGTAATTCACACATTGTCATTAAACTGGTATTCCGCTATTATGGGAGGTTAAAGTTACAGTTGTTTGTACAGTCAACTCCTTTCATAACACTCTTAAGCCAATCAAGTGTCTTTCAAAAATACCAGACCTTAAGTTAGATGAAATATATTTAAAATACATACCTGACAGGTGCTACTGAACACACTGCAATAATTGCAGCAATTTCACATTCTTTTCTAAACACAAGGTTAGAATGTTATTTCATAAAAACCAGAAACTTGGGAAAAAGGGTATCTCTTCTACTTAGGTCTTGTGTAAGAAAATATCCTTTTGCTTATAGTTGCTTTCTGCCTTATTGATTGAAAAGATTCCCATCCTGAACAGATACACATACACGGCTTTGTAAAAAAAATTGTCTCCTTGCTCCAGGCTGTTTCAGACTGATATTTCAGCTTGGTTTTGCTACTGTTTAGCAAGGGAGCCTTTCAGATTTATAAAATACAGTTTATAAAAATGACACATGCCTCCATTCCGATGTGAATTTTGATCTTCTGAAATTCAGAGGAAAGTTTTTTCAGTGCTTTAAAAAGAAAATAGAAAGCATCTATTCGGTTGAAAACTTCTCATTTTCAACACAGGGAAGTGACAGTGCTGGCCTGCAGCTTCTGCGGCTGCCTGTAACACCTAGACCAATGCATTGAGTTCTATGAGAGAAGACAGCCAGTTCAGCGTGTTTTCAAATCTAGACCCAGTTAGATAATTAAAAAAATGTTCATTTTGAAATCTCATCTGTGCTCATGAAGGAAATTCAAGTTGGTCTACCTCCCAGCCACAAATCTACCAGATTGGTTGTTTTTAAAAGAAAATCACAGATCACAACAGACTACTACAGTACATTATGTCTAGGATTCACACCCTGGCCAGAATTGCTACTGATGCATATCCCTCTTTCTTGCAATAAATGCATAAACTACTCACTCTCCCCTCTTCAGTTTATAGGCAATGTTCATCAAAAGGTCTCATAGCTTTCATTGGGACATAGGCAGGCTTTAACATCAGCTTCAAGTACATTCTTCAAATTCCCCTAGTGCTTTTCTTCCATGCTCCAATTTTATAGCTGCCCCCAGCTTGTCAAAACTGGGCATGCGTAGAGCTCTACTTATTGCAATAAGCTGGCAGTATCTTCATCCATCCTTTATATCGCTCCCTGTCTGCAGAGACCCCCACACCCTTGCCATGTACATAGCAGAATTGCAGACAAAATACTTTCTGTGGTACGCTGACCCAGCATGCTCTCGGATATTGTTTCTCAGACTTCTTTTTGGATTTTCTCTCATTTCTTCCCAGATTTCCTCTTATCCCCAGAGCTACACTCATCACACATTGTCTAAAGCTATAAACAAAGATGAAAGGTCAGGCAAACACACGGTCACGTATAAAACCAATCTTTTATTTTCACATCAAAACAACTTCTATTTTAATTAATTCTTTGAAAAGGTAATGAGTTTAGCCTTTGTTTAGCCTCCTAGATATAGCCCAAGTCTGGATGTTTTTGCTATTACAGACATTTTCGTGGTACACACGGAAGAGTTTTCCCTCTTAATACCCTGCCTGAGAAAATTACGAGAATCCGATGACAGTGCAAGGAATACAAAGTCCACTGTGAGCAATGGCAAGGACTAAAATAGATCCATGGATGCCTAAAGTTTGGCTTAGTAAGTGCACATGGAAGCCAGGATTGTGGTTAACTATGACAAGTGCTGAGGCCCACTAAACCTTTAAGTAAAAATTGGGCCTATTTGGAATTCAGCTCACATTACTCAGTTATTTCATTAACCATTCAATTTTGACACGCCCATTGTAGCTAATGTATAAAAAAAGGTCTAACCGTTTTGGTGAAATGTGGGATGGATTGAGCTAACAAAGTGCAAAATATATGAAAGGCGATGCATAAACATTGGTTAAATCCTGCCAAATCCTCCTACTGAGCAAGCGTAGATCATAGTCATCACTGTTCACAGTGATGATTGATTCAGTATTGCATTTCAGAAAATATTATACAAATTGATTAAGGGCGACAAAATCTATCTCGATGATTCTATCATTATTATTAACAATTTGCATCTGTTACCAGAAGTGTTTCTTCAGCTCTTTAATTAAACAAATACTGGGTGCTGCAGGGCACGTCTTTATTGTGTGATTTGGCTTTTATATCAAATTCCTATCAAGATTCCCCAGCAAATTTGCTGTTTTGACATGAGCTACAGAAGCATGTCTGGGTTATACAGCTCTGTTGTCTCAAGAACTGTGGAAAAAATAATGCATCTCATGTTTTCTTGTAAGAACATGTTCTTTATAACATTCCATCTTTGATATACTGATAGCGCACGTGGTCATAGAGATTAATTTCTAACTTTAGGACATGCTAATTCCACAAGGATTAGTCAAACCAAAAGGTTTCACATTTGCAAGTGAGCTCTCTCAAACGAGCTTGCACCACCTCAGTCCAATATATTGATGTATCACCTACAAGTCAGGTGACAACACTTCTGAACTTCAGAATCAGTTTCATGTTTCTTGCAAAACTTTGAAACCTGAAATTAAACATTCTCCAGGAATTAAAAACTGAATGTTAAAATAAATGCTCTCATTAAAGACAAACATGGTGTTTTTAATTGGAAACACCTTCAGCCACAACTACTGAGTACACTGTCTATATGGAAAATAGAAGGCAAATATTGTAACACCTCAGGTCCTGTTAAAAATGTAGTTTATTATAAACTGCTTGTCAGATGAACCTTGGTTTTGACACGAAAAGAATCTGCTTGTCCTAAAAAAAAAAATCCCAAATTTAAAAAAAAACTGCAAAAGGAAAAATATTCCAGTCAGAAAACTAAAAACATTTTCACTGCAATCAGTTACCCATGGAAAAAAGAAGAAAGATCACTTTTTAACCCTGCGTACTAGTAACACAGAAAGGATCACTAAGGTTAATTCTAAAAGCATGTGCAGGTAAGGTAATTTTGCACTTTTGAACATCTCACCTGCTTCCTTACTACAGCTCCCATCGTCTCAAATACTCATTCTATTATCCCTGACCATCGAGCACCATCATGTAGATGCTATGGAGATTTTTTCAATGTGTTTGTTTTCTGCCATGATTTTATGTTGGAAGTGTTTTGACAAAGTGTTTTCCTCTTGTCAAGCTATGCCTTACAGGATAAGCTCTCTAGCATTCCAGCAGGCAAAATTTAATCTTACACTAGTGACACCAAGAAATGCCACTATTTGAAAGTTAACTAACTAAGCTTTGGTTTGTAGCTTTGAGTAATATTTCTCCCTGTGGAAAGAGAAGATTCCCAATTTCCCAGCAAAACAAACAGTTCTCCTGGGCATAGAAAGGTCCAAAAAAACAATGTAATTGTATTTTTTAGGAAAAACTGTGGTTCTCAATTCATACATACTCCTAACCATAATATCTGAACCCCAAACAATAAAAGCTCTGTTGTTTACTTCAGGCAATAAAAAAGCAGCCTCAGAATTCATTATTATCATTAATAATAGGCAATTCTACATTCATCATTACTATCAATATTAATATCTGATTTTTTAAACACTGGGAAGCATGCTCACAATTAACTTTCACTATGCTCACTGAACTTCATTACACATCCAGCATGATCTGAGGACAAGACCTCCTCTTACTGTATCTCAAAAGGTATTATATTACTACAGTGTAGTACATGTTATAGTGCAACATCTATGTAACACATAGATATATAAGATTGTGTGTTGTATTGCACACTACCAGAAAATTTTCTGTAGAGATTTCTGACATTGAGGTATATAGACATAAGCATCCAAGTAAATTCCAAGGCTGAGATTTTTCAATAAGATAATTTGACGTAAATTAACATTATTAATATCTAGTATCTCTCACAGAGTTACTCATAACGATATCTTACCTGAGCTTCAGAATCCAAAAAAAAATCCTCTGCCATAGCATATGCAAAATGACAATATGATGTGTATCGTACCTCTCAAGAGTCCATAAACTGTGGCTACCTAGCTTCAGTCTTGATTGGCCTGAGATCACTTCCAGTCCAAGATACAATACAAACAGAGCTGTATGACATCTCAAAGCACACGCTGATGTCAGAAGAAAACTTGTATTTTCAAAGAAAGTTTTGACCTCAATAGAAGTGAACTGTTTTCCTATTAAGTACATACTTTTTATGAAGGTTGCGAATAATGTTTGATACATGCAACTAGTACATCATACAGTAAAATGGGAGAAGAGAAAACAGAAAGATGTTTTAATGAAAACAAAAAAAAAAAATCTCTAACCAGGCAATAATTTCATGCTGTATTTATCTTTTGAAGAACATAATTCCTTCACATCCAAAGTCACAAACATAAAAAAAGAAAATAAACAGGCAACATTTTTCTTCTATTCTCCCTCCTACCCACCAACCTACCCATCCAGTAAACTGCATTTATATTCTGACCACCACCTGGCACCAACCTGCTTCCAGATGCAGTATCATCATTTTGGATTAATTTTACCTACTGTATATTCCATCTCCCCCACCCTCACCCATGTTCAACACAGATACTCAGACCTAGAGCCCTCACTTTTGAAGGTCATCTGAGAATCCATGCTTGACCTAGAACAAAGGAGAAGTCTTTCCGACTCATCTGTGTACCTTCGTGCCCAGAGCTGCTCTCCTGCATTCACTGTTCGAGGCTTCAGAGACAGGGTTTCAAATTTCACATAGGTCTCTTTTGCAAGGTCAGCTTCCTTCGCAGTTTTCGGTTTCACACGAAGTTTTAAAACTTTGTAGAGTAAGAAAAAGATCAAAGGTAAAACAACCACACATGCTGCACTGCTGGCCAATATCAGAATAGAAAACTGCGAGCTGCTTTCATCATTTAACCTCTCAGTGGAGAAAATAATGCACTGTTCTTCTGTAGGTGGCACTCCTTTGGGTGAGACACATGCCATATATTGAGTACTAGGTTGCAAACCATCAATTGTGACTTTGTTTTTGCTAGAATCAGTGCTCAGAGGCAACATATCTTTCTCACCATACTTTGAGTATAACACAGTCACTGCAGAGTTGCTTGTGGCATTGACAGTTTTCCAAGTTAAGGTCACTCTTTCATCAGTTTCACTGATCACTCTTAGGTTCTTTACAGTAACGTCTTGCTCATCCATACTTGCTGTATTCAATGAAGTATCCTCACCTTTCTTGCTTATCTCCCCAGCCTGCTTTTTGTTTCCATTTGTCACTGCCTTTGAATTTTTCTTTCCATCAAACACAGGCCTCGATTGCTTCTTGTCAGTAAACCTGATGCTCGTTGATCTTTCAGTGCTAACCAGTGCTGTGGTGGTTGGTGTGGTGGGAAGAGGTGTGGTTGTCCTCTCAGGTTCCTGCTTGGAATCCTCCTGAGTGGTATTCTGTCTCTCTGCCTCTTGCTTCCTTCCATACTTCTGCGGTGACACAGTTGTAGTAACTACACCAACCACTGTGACAGAGTTCTTGGCTTTACACCTGTATTCTCCCGCATCCTTGTATGAAATCCCTGTCAAGCTTATTATGGACCATCTGACACCCTCTCCAGGTGTTTCTTGAATTACTACAGGAAAATACAAAGAATAAAATATTATAAAAGGGAGCTAAAGAAAAAGTAACCATTATTAGACTACTTCTTCCCTTAAGTTATTTCTGCCAGAAGGAATCATATGTATTAAACTTAAAAAAAAACCCAAGCAAACAAAAAACCCATACAAACTATGGAACTCCTTGCCGTATTGCATTGTATAGTATTGTATTATATTAGTGCTCAGCTTGGGTGAAAATGGAGTTGAATATCTGGAGGAATTACAATATAATTTGCAGTTTCACTAAGTAAAACAAAACCACATAAAGAGAAATCAAATGTCTTAAAACTGCTAAGTGACTAGGAGATACAAGTCTCACTGACTTCAAGTGACACTGAACACACTAGCCATTTAAAACATTTTTGGAAATTACCTTTGTTTTAAGATATTTCAGTATTTTGGACTATTACCTTCTTCAGACCTACAATTTAAGATAACCGCTTGGCATTAGCAAGAAACATTTTTTCTATTTAAGTTACTGCATAAGTATCATAGCAGCTAGATTGATACAGACAATCACACCATCTTTAGCATTCAAGATGGATGTTGCAAATGAAAAATAAACAAGTGCAAATAACATAGAAAACATGATACTGGAAAATCCTGTGTTTACAATGCTGAGTTTTAAGTGGCTCAGTTATGGCCTCACTAGCTTTTCTGACATGAACATTTTGAACCAAAACGGAGATTCCAGTAACAAATTCTCCTTTCTGCTTTTCAGCTTCCGACTTGGGGCCCAACTGTCCCAACCTCCATTTTCCTTTATCCTTCCCCCACTTCACCCATTTCCCCCTTCCACACCCTTTGTTCTTATTACAGACCACATGGGGAATCCAAACAGTCTGTTGGACCTGTTCAGACCTGTTGGACCTTCTTAGACAAAGAATTTCATAACAGCTGTTGCAGGGATACGATTGCCAGCTTGGTGCAATACCTGGTCCATTGTTACTCATTATAATGACCTCAAAGCACAAGCAACCCAACAATTTCAGGGTCTCCCATTTCCTATAAAAGAGCAATTATACCTGTATAGTTCAGTGGTATATTGTCTGACCTAGTCCAAGTAAGCTGTGGTGTTGGGTACCCAGTCGCATCGCAGCGTAGCAGAACGTTGCTTCCCAGTGGGGAAGTGATTTTTGTTGCCGACGTCATCACAGATGGTTTAAGACACTGCTCTAACTCAGCTCTCTGGAACAAGATTCCTGCCAGGCTCTCAGGTCCGCTACATGAAACCAATGGATCAAGAAGTACAACCGAGTTGTCCACAATTTTGGAAAATTCAATTAGCTTTGAAATGCGACAATCACAAAACCATGGGTTGTCCTGCAAACCTGAAGCAGAGAAGGAAGAGGGGAAACAAAACAAAATACAAACATGTTGTCAGGCAATATATGGGTATTGTGACTCTAGTATGACACATGACTACCACCAAGTACAATCAAGGAGAACCGTGGACCTATTCTGAGTCAATTTTTTCTCTTTCAATTTGTCCTTTTTGTTCGGCTGATTGGTGGGGGAGCTTTTGCAGAGGTGAGGACAAATACTATGAATGTTTATTAAGCTAAACTTTTTCTTCACAGAAGTTTACAGGAGCATAGTAATATACTGGCACTGTCTTTGCTTAGATTTGCTATTTATCTAAGAAAAAGCACTTTGAAAAGATATCTTAAGATCAAAGATGCATTTTCACTTGCATGTTGGAAAGATAGCTTCTCAGGGCTATTGTATCCTGTCACTCTCCTCTGCTCTCAGTCCATCTTTGGGCTCTTGCAGTTTGATCTTCTCAGACCCTTTTTTCAATACTGGACAAGAACATGATGATTTAAGGGTTTAGAGCTTACACCAATATCTCTGCCCCTTGACAAAAGGATAAAGACTAAGGAGAAAAGGCTTTAGGCCAATAACATTCTTATCTGGCTCTGAACTATACCAATATTCTTCGAAATCTGGCTTCAATTTAGGACAACCTCTGAAATACACCTAAAAAGAATAGCAGACAAGTAGCAAACGGGAAAGACCCTGAAAAAAGCTGATGACTACAATATTTTTATGATGGCACACAAGAACACTATCTCTCCTCTTCTGTTAGAGGCTATAACATTTGCTTCTTGATTCCAAATTCTTTGAATGAGAGGCTTCTCCCTCTTGCTGAACTTATTACAGTGAGAGTAGTCATTTCTGAGGAATATAATCCTCAGCTGGTAATGATTATTCTGCTATGTTGACCTTCATAGAGCATCAGCAGCTTCACCAGGTAAAACACCACATAGCATATCACTCATGAGTCCAAATATTTTCTCATTTGACTTATACTTTTGGGCATACCTTTTTCATTTTTTTCAAGTATTAACAATAAACAGAACAGTTTGAAACGAGGGAAGGTAGGCAAGAACCCATCACTATTGAATTTACTGTTTAGTGCAACAGACAGATCATATCAATTAAAAATTAAAAGAAAAAAAAACCTGAAGCACCTGATAATATTGCACAGTGTGTATTTTTAGGAATTATCAAAACAGCTAATGGAAAAAAATCTGCTTTTTGTTCTGCAAAAAGCTTGTATATGAAAGAATACACAAATAATTAACTACTGCTTCCTTTTATCGCCTGACCAAGATTAGGTTATTTTAAGCACATTGCCAGTGATTGGTTAAAACTGAGGTAAACCCCAATTAATCCCCGCTCTTTAAAACAAGACTTGACCTGAAGAGATTCCATGACTTTGACATCACAATCCAATTTCACTCCTTCAAGACATAAGAGATTTTACATCTATTCACTACTTATTGCCTGCTGGAATAGAGAAGGAGAAATCAAGGAAACTCTATCAGCAACTGCTTTTCTTTAAAACAAAAGAAAAAAATAATCTCCAAAATATAAAAATTTTTCCTGTGAACTTCACACACAAGCAAAAAATGATACCATCCGAATGCTTTCCTTATGTCTAGGCACATCAACTGTGTGTGCTTATTAAAATTTTGCCCACTCAAGCACAGGTACATAACTATTTGTACTCATTTTTTAAATTAGGCAAGCTTTAGTTTGTACTTAGAGTTAGAGACAATATTCCTGTAATATTTCTTTTTCCATTCCCACTTGCTTAGTGAAGAAAATTGACCCCTTATATGTTAAGAAAGAGACTGAGTATTTGAAAATTAAATTCCCCTAAGCTATAAGAGGGAACACAGGTTCCCCTTGAAACAAGGCCTCAACTGCCAGAGTTCCTCCATAACAAACGCTGCTAAAACGCACATGAACTCCCAGCACGGCCTCTGTGCTGTCTAGTGGACAGAAGCATGGGGCAGCTGTGCCACAAGCAGGCGGCGGGGCAGAGACTCTGGGTCCACAGCGTTAAGCAGGGCAGATTTGCAGCATCAGTAGAGCTCCCATCCCACATACCAGGCAGCGGATTCTCCCTCACATTGAACGCTAATGAAAATATTTCTTCTGCGATCTTTCTGCACCCTACAAGCTTTACTCCAGCAAAGGATGGGGTTTGTTATTCTTTCTAATACTACTAGCAGTGCTCAAAGGTCTTTCAAATTGAATCACAGAACCATTTAGGTTGGAAAAGACCTTTAAGATCATCACATCCAACCACAAACCCTAATACTGCCAAGTCCACCACTGAACCATGTCCCTAAGTGCCACGTCTATACATCCCCTCCAGGGAAGCTGACTCAACCCCTTCCCTGGGCAGCCTGTTCCAGTCCCTCACAACACTTTCGGTGAAGAATTTTTTCCTAATAAATATAAATACATGGTTTTCATATTCTCCCAGTGTCTCAAAGAAGACCCAAAGTTGTCACAAAAAGTGTCAGAAAGTGACAAAAGAGAAGGAATGATAAAGCAAAGATGGATAGTCCTTAGATTGGATGGTTCTTTAGTCCAGTCTGGGACACAGGCTTGACCATCTCAGATCATTCTGAAGGCCTGGTTTCAGCTTCAGAAGAAAGCTGTAGTCCCAGAAGACTCTGTATTTCTCTACTTCACTGCAAAGAAAGAGTTATTTCAGTTAGTGACTTCATCTCCCCCATCATCGTGCTTCCTAGTAGAACTGGCTAAAGAAGCAGGACATATAAATACATATAATATATACAGATACAGAAGTTCCTTGTTTGCCTCTGTGGCTCATCCCTTCTATTTATCTGTGTCTTGCCAATATCTGGCAGTATTCACATTACTGTTAGTAAACTTGCACAGTCATTGTAAGTCATCAAGTCATGTGAACACCCAAAACGAAACGATGAAAGTACTATTGAGTTAGAAGCAAGGATAGAACACTGAATATGATTATATTTCAGTTAGCTATTGAAGAGAACAGAAATCTGATGGAACACCAAGTCTTTATATTAAAATATAAAAATTTTAATATATTGTTGACCTGAGAAAGAAATACTAACCAAGGCAAAACAAATGTTAATAAATATTTATGCATTGCAATATACCAATGCAGTGTATTTTAACATTAAAGATGGATTATAAATTACTCTAAAAACTTTTTTTATTCTAGATTTAGTGTATTTTAAATTTACTCTCACACACTTATATGTATGCTAGCATGTACAATCGCAAATACATGTATATGTCTGTCTGTGCATGCACATTTTTGCAGTCTTCTCAGCAAGCAGGGTTTCCCCATGCTGTGTCAATATGGACTTTAGCATTCGAAACAGCTACAAGCGAAATTTCCTTTGTAAATCAGTAACCAGTCTCAGACCATAACTTGTATAATGCACAGCTTTTCAGTTGCTGTAAAATGGCAGTATGTGAAATAATCAAGTTTTGAGCCAATGGAAATATTCACCACAGCTTGGGCCAACCCACCCAATGCTCTTTTCCAACTGAAGCTCCAAAAATTTTGATCTGTGGTTCTAAACAGTAAAGCTCACTTCCTACACTGTGTCCCAGTATTTCCTGCATACAGTAATTGCTAGGGAGTAGTTCAGGAAAAGCAGCATCTACCCAATGGCCCAGTATAACAGCTGGGAGCCTGATGGACCTGCAGCATTTCAACTTTTTGGCACTTCTACATGCAACACGAGGCAAGATCTCATCTAACTGCCACTCTATTAAATCCTTGATTCCTGTTTCTCTCAGTGACTCACTAGATGTAATTTTCCATATGCAAAATGCTACTGCCATCATTCACGCCAGAAATGTCAATCTCTGTATAGCAGCCAATGCTGAAACTGAGCTGTGATTTGGATCAAAGTATTAGGCTACAGCTCCAGAGGTAACCAAGAGAGGGCCAGATGAACTCACACACTGGTCCCTCGATCATTTCCACTGCTTAATTGCCACCTCACTCCACAGCTTTGTTTTGAACTGTTCCAAAGGACGCTCTCCTAGACAAAGCCAGACATGGCTCCAGGGACAGTTTGCACTCCAGGGATTGCTCCCTGAAGGGCTTATGGATGAGACCACACCAAGGACAGCTCTCTCTATCCTGTTCTTTCCCCCAACATAAGTGCAGCAGGCTTTGCACCTCCAAACTACCCTGCAGCCCATCAGGTATCCAACATAGCCTCGCTATTTCACATTACAAAAGCACAATTCTATGGGTTGCAATGCAGTTCTTACCTTAGTTCAAACTGCCTGAAGTAAAGGAAAAACACCCCACACACACACCACACAGTTACATTTCAGAGTCACTGCAGCATCCCGCAGAGCCCACAGAAAAGCAAGGGCTAAATCTTAAAAACTGTGGAACAGCCAGTCAGCTTTAACGAGAGCTGGCCCTAAACCGTGTGGATAAGAGCCAGAGTGAGCCACTTGGCCACAGGGCCAGGAATCATTCCCTGACCCTCCTTCCTTTAGCACACTGTCTACATAGGGGAACATCATACAGTGGGAGGTAATAAAAAAAGCCAAACCCCTAAGTACAAAGATTATGAAATGGAATAAGGAAATGCTAACCTGCCTGTCCCCGGGCAAAAGTAGTCCATGGCTCCTCCAAATGCCCTTGAAGTAAACATGGGGAACCTGAACTTTCTCTTACACGCAACCTTCTTGACACTCAGTCAAGACACTGAAGATAAAATTGCCTCCTGGTGTTAAAAAATACATATGCACAAACATTTGAGTTTGGGGCTTTGCTGTTGTTGATCTTGTTAATTAAACACATGGGACAATCTTGTTTTGCTAGAACTAGGAGAAAAGCAAGCTTATGCTCTAATTTCTTACGCTAAGCAGAATCTGACTGCTGTTTTCCTGACTAGAAAGAACATTTATTTGCTCTGGGTTCCAGCTTCTAGCGCAGCTCTGGCTGCAGTTACCATTCTATGTAGGCACATAGGTCAGGCTAAATACTCCCACAGAGAACAGCTGGAGAACATAGCGAACAGAGAACATCAGAGAACATGATGCTCTTGAGCATCAAAGCAAGCACTGTGTGCAATTGTGGGCATCACATTTTCAGAGAAACCTTTTTCTTTAAACCCAAAGAAGTCCAAAGGGAACCAGTAACTATGGTAGAAAACGAAAATAAAGCCTAACAGTCTTATAGGAAACTGCTGAAAAAAATGGTGTGACTAGTTAAGGTGGCAAACCGGGAAGGAAAATGTATGAAAGGTTACTATAAGAGATGGTAATTAGTGTTTCTGTACGTTCATCTCAGGCAGGACAAGAGGTAATCAGCTTAGTTTGCAGTAAAGGAGATTGAGGTTAGATATTAAGAGAAACTTTCTCACTATCCTGATAGATAAGCACTGGAAGAGGTTACCAGAGAAGGCTCTGGAATGGCCTACCAGCAAGCTTTAAGAACAGCACTGACTTAACCAGAATGGTTCAGTTCATCTGAATCTGCATCCCAGCAGGCTAGAGGCCTTTTCAAAACCCTTCCTGATCACATACCTCTGTGATCCTTATCTTTACCTCAGAGGAGGAGGAGAGTATCTACAGGACACATTTCTCCTCCCTCAGGCTCCAGCAATCCTAGTAGAGACTGGACAGGTGTCAGAGATGAAGCAATGCACAGAGCACATCTTCGTCCTGTCGTTCTAAGCCGACATCTCTGGTTGGAGCATTCTAGAGACATCTCAATTCCTAGGTCATCTTTCTAGCCTGATAGTATCTACCAACCATTAATTCCTGAAGAACAACTGCTTGCTAAGAGCCCATCAACAGCAACCTCAGGATGAGCCTCTGCATAACTACAACTTCTGAAGCTCTAGTACTATAGATAATAAAGCCAACACTTTGTGGAGACTAAGTAAGCTTGTCAAAACAACCCATGACAAAGAGCGCTGCACTTTCTAATCTCCAGAAGAAGGGAATGTTTTCTTATTCACTGTAGAGTTTCTTAAACAGAATGCACTGTCTGTCTGCATTGAGCAATACTCATCAGAAGGCTGTGATGTCAATGAAAACAAATCCAGCTGATTAGTCACAGCTTACCTAAGGTAGATTTACTCAACACAACACAATGAAAGTACTACCTGGCATTTTGCATTCCCAGATCCAAATCTATGACTACACAGAGCCTCCCTCAGCATATAACATTTAAAAAAAAGAAGCAAGGTGCTGTTTGAACCCAGTGTGTGTTCCCCTCTGGAGATCTGCGTTCAAACCCAGTTGTAGTTCATAAATGAAAATGATCCAAAGGTCACATCCCAAGTCTCTAGAGAACTCAATGCTGGCACCAGAGGGTCTACCAGGACCAGAGGAGCCTGGCAAAGTGCCTGCAGATGGTTGCCAGGGGGAAGGGTAGGAGAGAAAAGTGTGTGTGGTTTGGGGTTTTTGGGGGTTCTTCTGTTTGTTTCTTTCTTTTGGTTTTTTAAGAGGTGAGGGCTATGTAAGACAAGGAAACCAAATAACCTCTGGGACTCCCACATGAGATCATCAGGAGGATTAGATCTAGCACAGTCAGCTCTTACTTTAGTGCCTCCTGTAGCCTCCAGCGTGGGCACAGCGAAAGGGGTACTGAGCTGGACTTAGTTTTAGAGCTTTTGCTTTTTTTTTTAATCCTGAAAAAACGAAGATCCTATTAATACTGCAAACCTACAGTTGCCATGTATGTGAGGAACTCGGTTCAGCCTATTGGAACCTATTAAGTTACTATATACAATCTCATCTGAATGAGAGTTTCAAGTTTCAGCTACTGCTGTGAAACAAAGCAGGTGAACAAATGAACACTGAAGGGTGGGGGTTTAGATCAAGAAATTGGAAATACTAGGCAGTACAACGCAGAGCAGATCTTTACCAGTGAGTACAGAGCTACTGCAGGTAATATATGGAGAGGCAGCTTGTTTTCCTCCCCTTCACCTGCTACACTACACTACAAAAACATCAAAACATACACTTATAGATAAACAGCAACAGAACACTATTGATAGAGCTGTTCCATCCATGTTCTGAAACTGCATAAGAGAAAGAGGTTATGTGCAAGACTAGGAAGTGGAAAGAAAGTGTCAGATAAAGCACAAAGTCACAAACAGAACAAATGTGATGGTATGCTACAGAGACGGAACAAAATTATGAAAAAAATCAGTCTGGCCAAATCATTCTTATATACTATAAAAAGTACTGTGAAGTTGTAGGGATCAGATTCCTAGTCTCTTTCTCATATTCGATATGTAAACTGGGAAAAACTCCAGAATAATTTGTCAGCTCTAAAGCAACAAAAGTCAACACGAGTCCTGAGGAGATCAGAGTTGCCCTCCTTTAAGCCACCACCACGATTATCTGGAGCTCTGTGGCTCAGCAGAGGCTTCATACGAGCATCAGCTCTAGCTACTTGTTTGGCTTGTGAGCCACTGGAAAAAACAATTGCAAACAGACATGCCTATGGTTGCAACCACATACAGTGATGAAGGAAATGTTATCAGAAACACAATTTTTGGAAGTGCTGCATTTATATGGATGCGGAATACTCCATATGGCCTGTATTCCTGTAGAAGAGAATCCCGTAGATTTTACTTCAGTTTTATTACCTTGACATAACAACATACATGGAGGTCACAATCTTCATTTTATAGTTTTCTGCCACCAACAGAAAATAAATATATAAATCATCACAGAGCGAAACAGAAGACTGACCTGGATAAAACCCACTCTCCTGAATCCCAGGCTGGTGTCCTACCTGCTCTCACTTGCAACTTAACATTTCGGTATATTTTAATAAGGAATGAGACAGGCTGTTTAACATACCCAAAATGACTCTCTGGGTCGCCAGAATGTCTGTGTTCTTGGACAGGACAGTTTCTGAGAAGGGGGGCCAAATGTCCATCAAGTCTGACGGCAAGGTGGTTAGCTTGTTGCTGGATATGTCCAGGTAGGTGAGGTTTCTCAGGTACCGGCCAGCATCAGCGGGAATGCTGGTCACTTTATTGTTGTGTAAATCAAGAGTCCGTAGGTTGGGCATCTCTGCCAGCGATTCCCAAGGGAAAGTCGAGAGCAGATTACCATCCAGACGTAGCTCATGCAGTTGTTTCAAGTTATAGAAACTGCTGATATCAATGTTGGCTACACAGTTGTAAGTTACCCACAGGTACTTGAGATCTACTAGGTAGTAAAAGGCTTCAGTCGGAATCCTTCGTATGACAGTTTTCTCTATACGAAGTTTTACAGTATCCACAGGAACATTCACAGGGATCTCATACATGTCAGGATCATTACAGAGCACAGACCTAGCATTCAAAAGAAAAAAAAAATTGTCAGAAAAACTTATCAGAAATTTGTATTTCAGATTTAAAAGCAAATGCTATTACTTTCTGGAACACTACTAGCAGAATAAAGAACATCAAATCAAGCAATCAAGGACAGCCCTCTGCATTTAAATATTGATAAGACAAATGCAGATCTTCTAAAGAGAAAAAGAATACAAAATAGCAATGATACTTTCACATTAAATCTCATTTACATTATTCTAAAGCATGTAAGCACCGTCTTCTGTTCATTCTACTAACAACTGAAAAAGAGAACCATGGTATAAGGAATAATACATGCATGTATCTCAAGTGGGAACTGCATGCCATCTGTTTTACTAAAATTCAGAATATTGGATTACTAATTTCTAGGTTTTCTGCATGATGAAGATTCAAAGTATTTGTCTATATAGACAATATATAGACAATTTCAGAATAGAATAAAAATTGAAAATGTTAGCATATTTCTCTAAACAAGAGCTTTCTAGCCCTATTTCTGGTGTCTGTGTAGAAATGACATGCTTTTAGAGGTGCTACAAACTTTCTGCTGCCGTTGATTTCAGTGAAATGGGATTTCTCATCATTTTCAAGAACCAGTATGTTTCCATTGCTTTGGGGTACATTGTTGGCATGTTAGCTTGAAGATTCCCTTCCCCTCGATAAGCCTATCTTTAATTTTCTCCCCCTTTTCTCTACATTATTCCTCTATTTTACTTGTGACAATAAGCAGCAATGACAAACAGTATCTTCCAAAATTGACATGACAATACCCAGATCATCAAATTTCAAATTAACCTCTTTATTATCAAAAAATATATGATTTCCCTGCAGATTAAAAAAGAAGAAACTGCTGTGTTTATTTAAACCAGAATCACTTTACAGTAGACAACTAGTTTGCAGAAATAGGAAGGACATTGCAATAGTAGGAAAATCATGGAGCAGAAAGAAACTGCCTTCCGCAAAAACTGAAGATTTAGAGTAGCTATTTGCTAAGTACAAAGCCATAATCACCATCTGCTCCTATTCAGAAATGCCGCTAGCCATATAACACCAGTGTTAAATATGCCTTTATTTCAACTATGCTACAACTAATTTGCAATGTACAAGAATGTCATTTCCAATTTCTTCAACCCTCTTCCTTATAAATTGCCTTGTATAACAAATAATAAAATATATACCTTGTTCCAGTGCCATCACTTCTGCCATGGTAAACGCAAGTGCATTGTGAAGGACAAAAACCACGCACTTCTTCAAAAAAGCTCATTAGGAGGTAGAAGTAAATAAACAGATACATGGCTTCCTCTCAGCACGACTGATGATATGAAAAAATTTGAAAACTTTATTCCTAGGCACTCATGTGCAGTGTGCTACGAATGTGAATGTAGACATCCATTTAGTAACAGCAGATTACATCAGATTAGCTGAGATCTGTAGTTGCTTAACCTTCAAATGTATCCTGAAAGGGATCAGTTAAACCAGCTAATTCTTTATTCTGTCAGAAGAACACACTCTGTTTCAAATAATATCCAGCATGTTTCAAGGCTATTTTAATACGTAGCTTGTAGGGTTAGTATGTAATAAAATACCTCTTTGCTCCTTCTAAGAGGCAATTAATTAGTTACTGTCCATAAAGTGTTCCAAGGTTCCTGAAGGAAATCCAGTACAGCATGAGGATGTTGCATGGCATTTTCTTTAATACTAAAATTTACAAATTAATAGGAAGCGTAGATTCCAGAGCTTTAAAAAAATCGTGTAAAAACAGGGTTTTACTAAAAAAACCCCACGTATATTTAAAATAAGTTACACACTGCAAAGCCAAACTTCAGATGCATGCATACATAATAATAGAATATATTTATTCTCAAATTCTGAGAATCATCAAGAGTGCGTATACTACTGTTCATAAATAGATCTATACATAGTCATCTCTTCCACCCTGAATAAATTCATTGCTCACATCACCAAATGTATTTTTTTAAAATTACACAACAGTCCTATAAAACAATGAGCCTGACTTAATAATTATGAGAAATGACCGTAAATATTTACTCAGTTTTATGTGCCTCCCCAGTGTCAAGATTTAGGGTGCAATTTTCAGGATTTGCTGAGCAGTCACAAGCATGAGAAACTACTAAAACAAAAGCTGTCTTTCCTACAAATTCATTTGGTTGTGTGAGCCAAAACTTTAAAAATACACTAAATATCCTGAAACTCCTTCAAAATTCTAAAAGCTGATAACAGGTTCTACAGGTTTTGGCTAGGTATTTTCATATCTTAACATATTCACAAAAACAGAACTTTGCAAGGCATAGCAATGTGGACACTTGGTATAGAAATACATTCACACAGGGAGAATCCAGTGTATTTCAAGTCTGGAAAACTTTCAAGAAAAGTTGAGGGAAAGTAATTCATGAAAGGACTCATAGGTGCAAAATCTGTGTTACTGAACTTAAGCACTACCTGCTTCGGTCTCTCCCTGCCTCTTTGTCACCTTCTCCAGCCCTGTAAGAGTCACAGTGAACACTTCACTAGCCTTTTTTAGGTGGGACAGACGTATTGGGCCAATAAACCTCACTCTCAAAAACTAAAGCCTTAGTGGGTTTTGTCTTTTTTTTCTTTTTAACCTATCAAAAAAGATTACTGTGATTAACAGAAAACAGCTGGCTGCCTGGGGCAGATTATTATTCCAAAAGATTAATCTTCCAAAAGATTCATTAACTTTAACCCAGATTTCACCCCTTTCCATGTAACTTATGCAGGCAAATGACACGAGTTCTACGATGTCAGTGCGCTTTGAGATACACTCATGGGTAAGGCGTTGTTTATAGTTATCTCTTGTCTTGTCTGACATCGCACCATTGCCAGGATTGCCCTCCGAAACCTGTAAAGGACAAGAAAGGGAAAGCAGAAAGCTCGTTAGCTGGAGAGCCAAATAGAAAGAAAAACTGGGTAAGCTGGCCCTAAGTATTACAATAGTTTTCAATTTTAGAAAAACTTACTTAATAAAAAATGGTGTATTTTGAATTCAAAAGGACCCGAGTTTTTTGCACTTCCATGTGCAGGAATAACTCAGGGAAATTCAGTGTTTCTTCTGTAACGGGGGTCACAGCAGCTTTTGCTTATCCCAGGACAAGGTATAGCCACAGCAAAGATGAACTTACAGAATGGGGAGAAAATGAGATGGTTTTTCGTTGAGTCAGCCGGATGGGATAAGGTCATGTAGACAGAGATCGCAAGCTCTGCTTCTAGGTTGGTAGCAGAGAAAGGAAGCATGCCTCTTTGCAAAACCCAGTTCCCAGTCAGAGGCACCAGCTTGGTTAGAGCATTTGATACACTTGCTCAAAACAGAACAGGCTAAGCTTATTTGCTTTAACAAAAAGTGTCAATCCATCCTAATCAGTCAGAATATGACACATCCCGACAAGGAAATCCACTGAAGTTACATGTCACTAAGCCAACACACATTTTGGTCACAGTCATTATGACCAGTCTACTGCTGATGCAACCCAAATTCCATAATGAGTCCCTTTGAGAAACCACAAAAGGACTTTAAAAACTGTCTTCATTCTCAAAAATCTTTATCAATTCAGTATGTTCTGATGATGATCGAAACAATTTCTTTTAGACTTTCCTGTCCAAAAGATCATCTTTGGTAAATCAAACAGTGGCTTTCCCTTTGATCTAATCAGTTTGTTAAATGCTACAGAAGAACATTCTATAGTTGCATGATATGCTAAAATCATGAAGTAGACTGGTACTAAATCAGGAGCACTTACTTTTTGTTTGCAATTACATAAATGCAGGGATTATAGAATGTAGAAGATTTTGCAAATAGAGGAGCTATGATGGCCATTGCAGGAGAAATTTTCCTTGGGTCTCCAAAGGAAGACCATAAACACACAATGGAATATGGAGACCACGCCACCAAGAACATTACAATCATCACAACAGACATCTGTAAAACAAGAGAAACAGACACATAACCAGTATTACCTGAAGATGAAGACCTCATAACCTAACCTCAAATGTGCATGCACCTGTGTGAAAATAGAGCTATCCAGAACCAAATGACAAGATGCAAACAAGCACAGCTGACAAATTTTGACAGGTTATGATGAAATCTGACTTTGGGGATTTAATAGCACATCACACTGCCATTTAATTTGGAATGCTGTTATTTTATTATGTACACTCTTCCTTCACAGTCAGCACTACTGATTATGTTAAATGTGTCCATCAAAAGTTTAAATGGCCAGAGAGGACTTCACACATGAATTATGATCACCACGTCAGAGCTGGAAATGCACTGCAAGCTATCATCAAACCCTCTCCTTCAAACTGCAAGTTACCTTAGCTGTATTATTGTTCTTATTATCATATATATCTGAAGAGCTGCACTCTGATATCCACCAGAGGATGGCTATCCGTTCCTAAGAAAATGCTACGTTTAAAAATGATCAGGTAATCAATATCATCTGAGCCATAGAAGATATCAACTTTTACACAAATCACCTTAGTTTAACCGCTTCCTAGCTACTTCCTGTTTCCTGTTCAGGTGTAAACAACCTGAAATCTACTTTCTGACCTTGCTAGAGAAAATATGAAAAACCACTTCCCAAAGATAAAACGCTCTATCGGAATGACAGATTCCGTGTCATAGAATCATAGAATGGTTTATGTTGGAAAGGACCTTGAAGATCAAGTCCCACCCCCCCTGCCATAGACAGGGACACCTCCCACTAGACCAGGTTGCCCAAGGCCACGTCCAGCCTGGCCTTGAACACCCCCAGGGATGGGGCCTCAACAACCTCTCTGGACAACCTGTTCCAGTGCCTCACCACCCTTAAAGTGAAAAACTGCTTCCTAATGTTTAATCTAAACCTGCCCTCTTCCAGTTTAAACCCATTCCCCCTCATCCTATCACTACATGCCCCAGTAAAAAGTCCTTCCCCAGCTCTCCTGTAGGCTCCCTTTAGGTACTGGAAGGCGGCAGTAAGATCTCCC